TTCCTGTGATGTGATAATTTGGTAAATGTATCAAATTTTTATAAATGTATAATTTAAAAGTTATAAAACTAAAATCTTAGGTAAATGCATTGAGTGTGAAGTGAAGTAATTTATTAAATGTTATGCTTTTACTTATATAAATACGAGGCTTGTAGACGTTTGTTGAAGATAAATGATGATCTTGAAGATAAGCAGAGTGTATGTATTTAGAGTAGCAGAAATGTGTCTGGAAGTAAAAATAGAAATTTGTGAGAGAGGAGAAAGTTCGGAGGCGTTGTGTATGGATTCACGCGGAATTGTAAATAATTGAGATTCGGACGCGGTAATGGCAGATGAATACGTGAAAATGGAGCGCGTGACAAGGGGAAGACGGATGGAAGTAAGGAAGGAAGCCGAGAGAAAATGTATTAGATGAAAACAAGCGGTGAAGCGGAAACTGATGGAAAAATAAAACTGCGACCGAATATATTATTATCGGACTACACGCTTCAGAAAATCCAAGTCGCAGTTTCAAATATTTTGATATTAGTTTATCTTGTCTTATTTGTATTACTAAATATCAAAAATAATATTGTTAAAAATATTGTCAAATTCATACAAGACATTAAATTTATTTTCTTGTCCAATATTTTCAGAACATTCAATATTTATTAGTTTATAAATTATTATTCAGAAAAACTAAAATAATTTCATCAAATTTGAATTTTATATTTTCTTTTTTTTAACATTCATATTCAATATCTATTGTCGTTTTAATATTTTTCGAAGAATTGAGTATAACGTGAAAAGATTTTGTAGTAAAAGTGTAAAAATAAATAAATATGGTAAATAATGTATGTGTAGCACCTGTGCTTTGTTTAGAGATTCGGGAAAGAGTTAGTTTAAAGCAAAGTTAGTTAGTAAGTTTCCATTTAGTTGGGTAAAGTGTCTACAATGCCGTCATGTTTGTATCTGTTTCATATAAGAGTCATGTATGTGCCATGACACAGCATAGTTATAAATAAGCTCGAACAAATAAGATAATTGGATACAAGTGAGCAATCATGTGGATTGCTGCTTTTCAGAGAGAAGAATCGGCGTTTAATTAAAGTGCATTTTAGCGGCGATGACGAAGAATATTTAAATTACATCTGCTGCATGCGTGTAAAGTACTCTGTAAAGTATGGTGATGCATTGTTGACCATAAAATGGATCACATAGGCGATGATTGCCATAGTTTGCAACTAAAATTATACTGTTTCTAGTCTTACGTGGGTAATTCAGTGGTCACTTGCATGTTGGACATCATATATCACCGAAATTGCAAGTCCATATTGGACCAGACGTACTCATTGCTATCAAGTGGTTAATTAATACAGTCGGATGCATGTTTGATGGGGTCGAAGGAGCCTCCTCTAACATACTGGACAGCATTCCAGCATGATGTAATTACTTGGATAATCCAAATTGCCAAATTTGCAATAATTATAAACAAAAGTAAATTAAACAAACTCACAATAAAGTTTATTGACAAATTTAGCAAAAAAAAATACAATGTGTAACGTTTACAATCCTTTGCGTCGCATTTTCAACTATTTTTTTTGCAAAACTACTGTGTATTATTATATTATGACGGCTCCGTCTACAAAAATGACTTTACTTAGAAATATCCCGTGTAAAGGATAGGGCGGATATATCCGCCACTTGCCCGATAAACATTTTTATATGATACTAATAGTATTGATATTATTATACAAAAGTAAATTAAACAAACTCACAATAAAGTTTGACAAATTTAGCCAAAAAAAAAAACAATGTGTAGTAATAAAGGCACTATAAAATTTAAAAAAATCATGGTATTAATCCTTTGCGTCGCATTTTCAACTATTTTTTTGCAAAACTACTGTGTATTATTATGTTATGACGGCTCCGTCTGCAAAAATGACTTTGCTCCTTGTTTAGAAATATCCCGTGTAAAGGATATGGCGGATATATCCGCCTCTTGCGCGATCAACATTTTTATATGATACTAATAGTATTGATATTATTATATAAGTTTTTTTTTATTGATTTTTAATGTATCAAAAAAGATATATATATAAAAATGTGATACAATCCAAGGGCGAAAGCGAGAATAATCCCAGTCACCGTCGGTGATCAATCACGAAAATCGCGTAACTCGATGTGCGATTTATCACTATTATTGCGCGAATGTGTCTGTGTACCATTAACCGGAAACAAACACGGGAAAGTTTTATTTTTTTCCCTCAGCCATATTTCGGAGAGACACCCCTTTAATTTAAGCCCTCGCAAAGGAACAACATCCGAAAAAGGTGGGTCGATTGGGGATATGATTGATGAGGTGTGTTCGATAACTCAAGCAACCCCAACCCGTCACAAATGCGAAAACATCAAAGGACACTTTTTTCTACGCCCGAATGGTCGTTGCCGTTGCCTAAGCCGTTCCGCACGCTCTAGAAAATACACAAATGGACGTAAAACACATTGATCTCGACGACGACGACGACGAAATAAAACGTAAATTATGCAAGGATAAGAAAACTTCTCGGCGTTTTATGAGCCTTAAATATTCCAATTCGGAGAGCATACATTAAAATTTCAATCTTTGTTCATTATTAAACATAGCACAGCGAACGTTTCTGACTGCATTTTAGAAAAGTGCATTGGATAAAGTTATATAAATAAAATTTGTATCATCAAATTCTAAATTGTAACAAAAAAGTAAATGTTTGTACATAAAGTTGGATTATTAGAAAAATTAGTTAGAAATAATATATTTATTGTGATAGGATTATATTTAATTTAATTGGGAAAAAATGCGTTATTTTATTTTAATTTTAGTGATCATTAAATTTTAAGAAAAATAAGGCGAAGCGATTTCATGTTCAATTAAATTTGTTCCAATAATTACATTCCATGACCTTTAAACTCGATTCCGGGTACTTCATTAAGTTCGCCACTTAAAAATGAATTACTTGTTCCTCGTCCGTCTTTTATTTTTTATCGAAACTGAATGAAATCTCTCTATGGAATAGCCGATTACGCCTCCTTCAAGCACTCCACTAATAAAACCTAATTATTTGTTATCGATTCCCGCGGGAATGTTAATAATTGAATTGCGAAAGCGGCTTTAGTATTCGAAACGCGCATTGTATTTTAATGCGTTCAAGCAGGCAATTGATCAGCTAAATTGAATGCATTAGTAAAAAATAAAAATCGATTTGTGGAGGCGCCGGGATAAGATTCAATGAGAATTTTGATGGAGTCGACTAGGTGGAAGTTATTTAACGGGGGGATAAGAATGTTTTGTGCGATAATTGAGTTGGGAAAGTTGAGTTTGGCCCACTTCGCGTGATTTCCTTTGTAACGCATGCAAAGTATGATAACGAGATCGCATTTTCCAGGCAATCCATCGCTCCTCTTCGCGAGGACGTTGAAGGGGATCAAAAGGACACAGCAGGATGCAGAGTAACGACGACATCATTCTGGAGATCCTCCAGGGTCAGAGGACTGCAAAATGGCCTAAAGCTAAGGTTGTTAAGATCTTCGTCGCCAGCGACAAGAAAGGTGAGTTTCGTTTAGCATTGTTTTATTTTTTTTTTCTTCATTCAGTTTCCTGTCAAGCTTCGCGCTTTATGGTCGTAGCAAACTGGATGAATGATGAGCACAAAGTCCGTTCCGCATGCTGCGTATTCCCATTTGATGAACGCGGCTTCATATCATGGTTTGCTGCTGTATCAAATTATTTAAAACGTTCGTTCCGGCATGAGAGAACTATGGGCGACGCAACGCGCGGAACAATTGTGGTTTCGCTACTGGAGCAATCTACAAACTGAATATTCGGGTGGTATAAGCACATAAACATTAATTGGGACTCTCGAATCTTTGGTGCACGTGCGACATTTCCCATTTGCACTAATCACGTTGATTACAGCTACAAATCAATGGTTTATGTGATACGTGAAATTCCACTATGAAATAAATTAATGAATTATATAATTTTGGTTACACATGTGAAATTTTCCATTTCTACCTTGATTATAACTACAAATTGTCAATCGATATTATTTTGTGCTTTTATGAAAATTTCCATTTGCATTATAATATTTATTGAAATTTCATTCTGAAATAAATGAATGAAAATAAGGGTGGTGAAATGTGAAATTCCCATATAAAAAAAAATACGGGGAATTTTATATCAGGCAGTAAAAAATGTATCAGTTAATAGCGTACCGTTATGGAAATTTTCAAGCTTATTAGATGGGTTAGTAAACTTTTATTTCCTCCCTATTTAATTTCCGTTCCGTCACTCGTTCCGTTCTCGGATGATAACCGGAATTATAATGAGTCTTGATTCCCAATTCTAATGTATATTTATCACTCTTCGCATAACCAACGCGAAATTCCAATTATATAATAATTTATGCACATTTATTTATTGTATAACGCTATAAATAGTTGAAATGGCACAATTTTCTGTGAAGCTTACAAATTTATAATTTCGAGTGCAAAGACCTACACATAATCAATAGTACAATTCATTTATACATACAATTTTTATTTGTTGCAACAAATATTGAAATTATTATTATTATTTACTATTAATAATTATCATTTTGTAAAACAATTGCAATAAATTTTATAATTAATGAAATGTGGTAATTAATAAATTAATGGATTTATACGAGAATCAAACTCGTTTTCCAATATAAACTTTTGATTACTTCTTGCAAGATTTCAATTAAAACTTGGTATAGTTTCTTGGATTGAAATGTTTTAATATTTTGTGCATCATTAAATCTGAATACGTTTTAATATTAAAANATATATATTTTTTTTCTTTTGTAAATTTTTAAAATTATTTAATAATCTCTTTAGTTATTGTTACTAACAAATAACTAATAAATTAAGAATTTTTATTGACGCTACATAAGATTCTATCAATTAATTTCTACATATTTATTAAAGGCAATATTGTCTCTGGTAATTTTAATTTGAATATTACAAATTATTTAATTTAAAACAAAGTTGTAACTTTTTAAATTATAAAATCGTGATTTGAGTAAATAAAAATTAGAATATTATTATTTTTAATTACCTTGATCAGCAATAAAACACACTATGATCAATGCGTTATGTATATTTGCGTGTAAAATCGCCTTATATGGTTACGAAAACGCGACTTGTCTGCGTCACAATATCTCACAGCAGTACTAACAAGTTTAAATTCCCACAGTGGTAGTAAAACGTATAAACAAACCTCGTATGGGACACGAATCATCTCGAATTGTCACGACAGATGCAGCTGCAAGTGCTAAACAAATCCTTATATGGTAATGAAAACGTAACACCTGCGTAACGATGATTCATTTGCAGGTGCACGACTTGTATGCCTCGCGATATCTCACAGTGTTACAAAAACGTTTAAACAATCCTCGTATGGGCACGAATCTTCTCGAATTATCACGACAGATGCAGCTGCAAGTGCTAAACAAATCCTTATATGGTAATGAACTCGCAACACCTGCTTAACGATGAGTCATGTGCAGGTGTGCGTTTTGTCTGCGTCGCGATATTACACAGTGGTACTAAAACGTATAAATAATCCTCGTTTGGGACACGAATCGTCTCGAATTGTCACGACGAATCAGCTGCAGTTCCAAGAGCTAAACAAATCCTTATATGGTTATGAAATACGTCACATTTGATGAATCAGCGATGAGTACCAATACAAAATTAATATTTATAACAGCACGAAAAGTCGCACGTTTTCCTATTAATTTATTGAAATTTAGTTAAAATATCTTTTATTTACATATATGTATTACAGTTATATAGGGTATGGTATGATATGGAAACTGCTATAAGCTTTTGTGCCTTCAGCTTTCTGGTATTAATGTTTTACAAAAATAAATAAAATAAACAAAAATGCAAAAAAAAAGACAATAACCTGATTTGACAAAAGAAAGATTGGTAACAGAGTGAAATATGTAATAAAATGAACTGAAAAAGCGTAGGAGATTTACTGAAAAAAAAAGAATCCCAATTTACATTATTTTTATATCATTGTAATAAATTATGCAAAAAAAATCTATGAAATAATTTTATGAATTTTTACTTTTATATAAATTTGGTATAATATACATTTGAATTACTGTGTAAGCGAGTTGAAAATCATGGAAATAATTAAAAATATGTTGAAAACTGTATTTTGCTGTATATTAACGGGTAGGAAAAGACGTAAAAGCACATTTTCATTAATTAACAGACTGCAAATAAACAAAACCACGTGCAGTCTATGTAACGGCAGCAACTGTAATGAAAAAGAAACAAGAAACAACAACAGCGGCAGACAGTAATTAACAACTTTTCGAGCAAGGATAATGAGCTAACGTAGCAGGCATTGGGGGTGAATGAGGAGCGAATAAATTCTGTACGTGAAGGTGGAAAATGGGGGATGAAAAAAAAAGAGGTGGCACCGCGTGCATTTTCACAAGCTAATGAGATTTAATTCGATTTGGAAGTTAGCTTACGCCGTTCCACCCATAAAGTCAAAGCCTTTTACTCCTGAGTTATTGCAATTATTCCTTTTCGCGCTTCTCATCCTCAAATAAACAATCAGCATAATCCTAACAAAGTAAATTCAGTTTAAGGATAACAACATATTTATTTTTATATAGAAACTAATAATCCTTATAAATCGTCCTGGTGTCGCCAGACCTGCACCAATTAACAATTTTAATTACAATGTGAAATTCAATCTCTGTTGCACAATTAGCAAGGAACACTACAGCGTCTTTCGAGCGTAATATTTGTTTAATTAAATTTTATGTCTCTCCTTAATCCTTTCGAATTATGTCCTTCCGAGTGTGCCCCCTCGTTAATTCTAACGTAACCATAAGTAGTGATTATATAAATTAATTCGTTCAAAAGGATATACATAGATATATGTACAAAAAAAATATGAAATTTCAAACAAAATAAATCCTTTCTCATTGCAATTATTATATTTTTTAACAAAAAAATTCAATAATATTTCACGGCAATTGTACAAACTTTTATATTTAGTTCCATTATATAAAATGCTTGTTTCATTAATTTTTATTCCTCCGTAATCCTTTCGAATCGTAACCCCTTTTAGAGTGGACGTCGTTAATTCTAAAGTAAGCACGAACAGTTAGGAACATGATTTGTCCTTAATCCCACTTTATGTAATATCCACTAATCAGAAAAGCATTCCATTAAACTAATTGTTTATTTTATTTTGAATTAACTTTAATAGTTTTGTAAAAAAAAATGAATTATTTAAATTTGTCTATATTTACTATATTGTTCTATTTATTATTTATATAATATTAATGGATAATAATGCATTAAACATTACATGAAATTTAATGAAAAATATTATTTAATAAAAACTACAGACTCTACTTTTGAAGTTATCAAAAATTACACAATATATATATAGTTGTTGATATTGTACGTAATGTTTGTTTCGTTAAAGTTTATATCAGCCCTTAATCCTTTTGGATTGTGTCCTTCCGAGAGTGGGCACTGCTAATTCTAACTTAAACAGAAACAGTTAGGAATGTACTTAGTCCTTAATCTTAGTTCAAAAGCAATCCTCTAATCACAACAGCATTCGGTTAAAGGACTTTTTTTTTTTTGTTTCAAGTACAAATTCATTCTCTTCATAATCCTG